AGAGAGAGAGAGAGAGAGAGAGAGAGAGAGAGAGAGAGAGAGAGAGAGAGAGAGAGAGAGAGAGAGAGAGAGAGAGAGAGAGAGGATGAAAATTCTGACACCTGGGGAGGAATACCGTTGTGTGTGGGTGTTTGGTGTGGCCTTGTTTGTATTGCTGTTTACAGGCAGGAGGTGAAAGTGATGACGGTGAATTCGGCGGGGTGCATTTTTCTGAGACCTGAAGGGCTGGACTTCTCTTGCTACAACCAATTCTACACGAACGGCAATCGCATAGCATCTCGCACGTTCAATCAACCCATTGACGCCTACCAGAGCAAACTTGTCTTGATTCACTTCAGCAGCGTTGCTTTGGAAAACGGCCTTGTCCTCACTGTTAATGACAATAACTCTGAGATATATCAACCTGGTCGTCGCTGCACCATATTCTGGACATCATAGCCTCTATTATGAAAAAAAGTAAAAAGTACTATAAACTCTTTTAATTTTTAGAAAAGGGAAAAAAAAATGAAAGCTGACAAACTCTATCTGGTATCTAGTATCTACCTTTATGTGTCAAGCAAAGCAACTAAGGCATGCTTATAATTATAAGCAGCAGCAGCCTTTTTTTGATGACGTCATTGTCCTTCCTTTCACTGTCTCTGTGTGTACTCTGACCACTCTCCTGCCTGTTCTTCCTCTCTCCCGGCCAGAATCAAAGATGAGAGGGGCTTTTTCTTTTTTATTATTATTATTATTTTTTCTCCGGAGAAATATGAGAGTTTTCCGCAGCTCCCAGGGATGGAAGTTTTGTCGACAACGAGCTCTTCATGTTCTCTGTTTTCGTTTTCATTTTGATCACTGCCATTCAGCTCATTTTTTTTCTGTGCGCCATTCACTCAGCAGGCATCAGCAATATGCTCAGGCATTGTTCAGCACAGCAAACCTGTTTCTTTCATCCTACATCGGACAGATGGAATCGAACCGGCGATCTCTGCCTCAACAGCCCGTTGCCTTAAACACACTGCAGCAGCCGTGCAGTGCCGTGGTGCTGGAAACAGGCAACAGTGAATCTGTCCAGGCATGCTAGGCTCTCTCTGACCTCTCTTTTTTTTTTTTTTTTTTTTCCTTCTTCTTTCTTTCCCCTCTTGACTTTTTCTTTTGCAGTAGAATACTCTATTCTTGTCTGAAGGGTCCCAAACAGTCTGTTGAAATGTCGAAATGCCTGCTGGTTCCCACATCTCCCCTTTTTGTGAGCTCCCCTTTTTGTGAGCTCCCCTTTTTGTGAGCTCCCCTTTTTGTGAGTTATAGTCTGATGCGCACAGAGTTCAGCAGGTGTTGATTTTGTTCAGAGTGGCAGACTGTCAGGCAGGACTCTTTCGCTGGTGGGAGTGGGACTCCATTACGAGCGGGGCTCTTTGACTGGTGGAGCTCCTTCACAGTTGGGACTACTGCTTCACTGTGGGACTTTTTCACTGCTACCAATCGAAGGCATTGGTGAGAGTGGTGCACGTGTGGCGGTCCTTCACTGGTGAGACTTCTTCTTCTTCATGGGTGGGGCTACTTCCTCACTGGTACCTTTCCTGGTGGGAGTCCTTCACTGTTTGCACTCTTTCCACCAGCGGAACCCCTTCGCTGCTACCTTCCCTGGTGGGACCGCTTCTCCGATGGGACTCCTTACTGGTACCTTCCCAGGTGGACCGCTTCTCCAGTGGTACCTTCCTTGGCAGGGCTCCTTTACTGGTGGTACAACTCCGCTGGCACCTTCCCTGTCGCTAGTTCTTTTTCACTGATGGGACGACGGACGACTCCACTCGTACCTTCCTTGGTGGGACTTCTTCGCTGGTGGGATAACTCCACTGGGGTGGGGGGTCTTTCGCTGGTACCTTTCCTGTTCGCAGTCCACCCATTGGGCCTCCTCCAATCGTAGTACCTTCTTTGGTGGGACTCCAGCACCGGTACCTTCCATCTTTGACAGTGGTCCTTCACTGGCACGGGACTCCTCCACTGGTACCTTCCTTGGTGGGACTCCTGTGCTGGTGGGACAACTCCAGTGGTTCCTTCTCTGTTGGCAGTCCCTCACTGGTGGGACACTTCTACTTCTTTCAATGATGAGACTCCCTCACTGGTGCCTTCCCTGGTAGGCGCAGGTCACTCACTGGTGGGGAGTTCTTTACTGGTGAGAGTCTTTCTATGGTACCTTCCTCCTAGCTGCGGTCCTTTGCATTCCTGCCCGCTTCTCTTCCTTCTTTTTTTTTTTTTTTTTTTTTTTTTTTAAATTCCTTCTTTTTATATTGTAATCCAGACTGTTCAGTGCACTACCTTCTTCACCCGAATACACCGTACGGTCATTATTGCTGTATTTTTTTAAAGACTGAAAGATACCCCAAATACAGTGACAATGACCGTACATTTTATTCGGGTGAAGAAGGTAGGTAGGTTACAAAATTGGTCATGGATTTTCGGAGCCGTCAGAATCAGTGTAATGGTAATCAATAAGATTTTGGGAGAATGGATGCAAGACCGTCCACTCCACTTTTGGAAATTATTCGTGTGTTTTGGGGGTAGCACTATAATACAAGGTGGGTCTTTGCTGAGTCATCGGAATTAGGTTGGGGGACCGGTACTCATGACCCAGAGTTTCACGAGGTAGGCTGCCTCTCTCACTCTTGGTTTTGCGGCCCGTGTGGAGTTGCATACACATACTACTGGGTTGGCCCCGGGTAGTAGTTGGTACTGAACTGGGCCCAACCACCCACATTTGGGTGCGGTTGATTCTTCCGCTTCTCTCTCTCTCTCTCTCTCTCTCTCTCTCTCTCTCTCTCTCTCTCTCTCTCTCTCTCTCTCTCTCTCTGAGGCAGAGAAGATGTTGTTCAATTGTTGTTTTTTCAACTTTTTTGTGTTTCAAATCATCAATCATTTTTATTTTTATTTTTCCTAGTTATAGTTTGTAGTACTTTGTACTACTTGTAGGGGAGTTTCTGATTCAGATGACTTGAGGGCAGCCGCAGGCCTGATGAGAATTCCTTCCTTCCTGCGGCTGCTGAGTCGTTTTCTCTTTGTGGCTGGCTTTTGTGTTGCTTATTCCGCTTATCCCACGAGGTAGTCAAATTAATCTACCCACAGAATGTTGAGCTCAGCGCATTGGAGGCTGTTTTCCTTGTCCTTCACGGCCTTGGAATCTTGATTATTTTCTCTTCGTTACACTTGTCAAAAGTTTTGACTAAATTAGCAGTTCATTCAACAATCCCTTTCAGAGAATAATGAACCAAACTACTTGTTCTGTTCCTCATGCCTATCCTCCTCCTCCTCCTCCTCCACCTCTTCTTCTTCTTCTTGTTCTTCTTGTTGTTGTTGTTGTTGTTGTTCTTCTTCTTCTTCTTCTTCTTCTTCTTCTTCTTCTTCCTCCTCCTCCTCCTCCTCCTCCTCCTCCTCCTCCTCCTCCCCCCCCCCCTCTTCTCCTCCTTTTCCTCCTCTCTCCCCTCAGTAATATGTCGGTCTCAGTGATTTGTCCTTGACTGCGAACATTACCATGACACCGCTACAGTGGTTTTCCCTTCTCGAAGAAAGTTGAAATGGTACACTTTGGTGCTGCTTGGTTGGACTGCTGTGACGTAGCTTGATGCTGGTGCCGATACTGACAAATTCGATTTTGTTTATTACTTTTGTTGTTGTTGTTTTTAATTTTCAAACGGGCAACGGCCTTGAGATATCAACGTCAGCCTGCTTAATGGATGCCAGTGAATGTCGTATTTATTGTCTGGTTTTCGGATTAACCACACTTGAGATATCATCATCGACCTGACCGTCCTCAGGTTTTATATTTATTCAGAAATGTTTTCTATATAAGATTTCATATCATTCATCTAGTTGAATCTGGATTCGAACTCTGGTCTGCATTTCAACAGTTCACAGGTGCACCAACTGAGCTGGGCCCGTTGGTGATGCTGACAAGTTGGTGTGCAGCCCGTTGGGATTTATTTTTCTTCCCCGTTTCATGCATGGGCCCCTGCTTGCTTCTACCGTTTTTTTTTTTGTTTTGTGTGTGTGTGTGTGTGTTCCCTTTCGTCTGACTCTGACAAGGGTGGAGCTGCTGGAATACGGGTCCAGCGTCCCTTGTACGTTTTCTTGGTGCTTCAGTTTGCTGGGAAACAGGTCCGGCATGAATGTCTGAATAACAGGTGTGGAAAACGAGACCATCTGAGTTTGTGTGGGCAGCTCTCCATGTGTGTGGCGTGATGTCTTATCTTGTCGCCCCGTACTGATCACAGTACGTTCGCCCCCCCCGTCCCCCGTCTACCTTCTTCCCCCGAAGACAACGTACGATCATTATAGCTGTATCTAGACTGAAAGATGCCTCAAATACACAGCTAGAATGACCGTACATTGTATTGGGGGGAAGAAGAAAGCTACAGGAAAAAAACATACAGCAGTGACAACAGAGCTTTCTATGAGCTGGCAAACATGACATGAACGAGCACAGTGAACTCACGAGAAGAGTAGCAGAGGGAGAAGGGGACCAGGATGGGGAGGAGGAGGAGGAGGTCGAGGAAAAGAAAGAGAGGAGAAGCAGAGCAGAAAGCAGGCGAGGAGGACAGGAGAAGGAGAGGAGAAGGAGAGGAGAAGGAGAGGAGAGGAGAAGGAGAGGAGAAGGATAGAAGAAGGGAAGGAGAAGGAGAGGGGAAGGAGGAAAAGAGAAGAGGAGGAAGTGGAGGGAGAGGGGGGTGACAAAGAGGTATTCATATGGGGAAGCGGAGGAGACAAAACAGGAAGGGGACGAGGAGGGGAGGAGAAGGGGAGAAGGGTAGGAAAACAGAGGAGAAGTGGAGGAGAAGCATAGGAGAAGCAGAGGAGCAGCGGAGGAGAAGCGGAGGAGAAGAGGAGAAGCGAAGGGGAAGAGGAGAAGCGGAGGAAAAGGGGAATAGAAAGCCACCTCGGTCGGCCCTGTGCTGTGTGACTCAAGATAAGGAGAAGGGCGGAGAAGGGGTGGAGAAGGGGCCGAGAAGGGAGGAAAAGCAGAGGAGAAGCGGAGGAGAAGCGAAGGAGAAGCGGGGAGGAGAAGCGGAGGAGAAGAGGAGGAGAAGCAGAGGAGCAGCGAAGGAGTAGTGGAGGAGAAGCAGAGGAGAAGTGGAGGGCAAGGGGAGTAGAAAGCCGCCTCGGCCGGGCCTGTGCTTCCTGGCTCAGGACAAGGAGAAGAGCGGAGAAGGGGAGGAGAAGGGAGGAGAAGGGAGGAGAAGGGAGAAGAAGGGAGGAGAAGGGAGGAGAAATGGAAGAGTGGAAGGAGAACAAGAGAAGAGCAGGGGGAGGAAGAGGAGGATGACGAAGAGGGATTCATTTGGGAAAAGGGGAATGAGAGGATTGATGAAGATGAAGCAGGAGATACAGCTGTGCATCTCATAATTGGAAGAGAGAGAGAGAGAGAGAGAGAGAGA